AACATAAAGCCAGGGCAACAATGGAATGGTTTAAAACAAAACATATCCATGTGTTAGAATGGCCCAGTCAAAGTCCAGATCTAAATCCAATCAAGAATCTGTGGCAAGATCTGAAAACTGCTGTTCACAAACGCTGTCCATCTAATCTGAGCTGGAGCTGTTTTGCAAAGAAGAATGGGCAAAGATTTCAGTCTCTAGATGTGCAAAGCTGGTAGAGACATTCCCTAAAAGACTGGTGGCTGTAATTGCAGCAAAAGGTGGTTCTACAAAGTATTGACTCAGGGGGCTGAATAATTACGCACACCCCACTTTGCAGTTATTTATATGTAAAAAATGTTTGGAATCATGTATGATTTTCATTCCACTTCTCACGTGTGCACCACTTTGTGTTGGTCTTTCACGTGGAATTCCAATAAAATTGATTCATGTTTGTGGCTGTAATGTGACAAAATGTAGGAAAAGTTCAAGGGGGCTGAATACTTTTGCAAGCCACTGCATATACACACTAGCACCTTTTTCACAATATGTTGTACTGGGTCAGAATGTCAGAAGACAAATGCCAGACTCACACTTCTAGAAAATTCATCATGTTTACCAGTATAGACTGAACTGCCAAAGATCATAGGACCCCTTATTCTGTTTAAGGTTGAAGTTCCTCTTGAAGTGAACAGCACGGTTCCACTCAGTCAAAAACAGTGCAATTTTATTCAAAACCTTGACATCAAAGTGACTTCGTACTTTGAGATTGTCAGCATTCTATGTAGTAAGCAAAAAAATGTAGTAAATAGACCAAGGTCAGATTGCTGAAAATCAGGAATATTTGCCTTAAATATAGAGCAATGGTTTCTTTGTGCTGATGTTGTGTATTATGAAATCTTTCTGTTATACTCTACAGTATGTAGACACAAAGCAACTATACCTGAAGCTTGTAATATTGCATATGATTGCAACATAAACACTAACAGACCCCTATTAATCCCACGGTATAGAAACTCTCCAAAAGACAGAAACAGGCTTAAATTTGCTCACCTGCAACTTTACATCAATTGAAAATTCATCATCGGGTGGGTAGGTATATGCCAAAATACACAAAACAGGCAGGTGTGGCCGTTTGCTTTTACTGGGGGAGAGAATCAATGCATAAAGCTCCAATGAACACTAACAGAGAGATGCAACCACTATACATTTTAGAACTGATATGGCTCATCTATCACAATGCTTACATAATGAGGTCCCTGTTTACATGCCAGTGATGGGTATAGTTACACTGAGGGTAATGGCAAATTGGGCCAAAGTCTTTGACTGACTGGCTTTTCCTTTCTGCCTGCAGGATTCCTTACAAGCAAATTTATATTGTGGTGTTTACTTAGCACTGCAGTGGGGTATCCTGTAATCTGTTAGCCCTGCATTCTATTCAGATCCCTTCTGTGAGCTATTATCCAGAAAACAAAATACTTCCACAGCATCCTAAAGAGCATTTCTTGAGGTTTCTATATATAAAATAAGTATATACAAGAATTATACTAATTGAAAAACACATGACATGAGGAATTGTGACAATAGACTTTAAAGCCACTAAGTGGAGAGGTAGGGGCAGTAGTAGTTGTAGTTAGGTATTGTAAAAAGAGAGAGAGAGAGAATATGTCTGTGAATAACAAACCCTGTGAACATCCCTTTAGGCCCTGGAAAGCACTACTGTTGGGCTGAGATAACAGTTATATAAAACACAAAAAGGGATTTGCAGCGGTTGTTCTTTTTTGTACACTGACTGTATAAAGTTTACATCCCCACTGAATTGTAATTTTGCTGTTACAATTAAATACAAGCATTAGGAAACACTGTTTTTACAAACTTGTGCTACTTCTGTAGCTCGTCATGAAGGTAAACTGAAATAAGGTAGTTTCAGAATTGTATTAATATGTAATAATAGTAAAACAATTTCTTTAAAAAAAGCTAAACTGAAACTTTTTCTCTTTTCTGTGGATCACTGTTGCGAAGTGCTTTATAGATTGCTGCATTTTGTGCATTGTATGGATGTCTCACATTATTAAAACTGATATATTGGAGGGCCTTGGAGAATAATACCTGAGTAAAACATTAATAAAAAAGAAAATAAGATTTTAATTATCTTTAATCAAAACTAAAGGAATAGCATGCTCTAGCTGTTATCCTTATACATAAACATGCACACTCCTAAATGCATGCAGATCGATACACACATGCCAGTACTGCAGGGAATAAGCACCCTTTCCTTTTGCCAAGCACTTGCTGACAGGGTTGGTATTTTATTGTTAGCCATAAAAAAAGAGAGGTTCCCTTCTCTTACTGCACCACAGGTAAGGAGTGGCAAACTCCTACACAGAACCAACCACACACACACGCATGTTGAAAGACAATCAATTCTCTGTGACATTCTTCAAACAGTCAGTGGCAAGTGAGACTGGGGCTTTGAGTGGCCTGCAGCTAGAAGGTCACCAGTCAGAAATCCCGGTCTGCCAGGAAAATAATGGATGGCAAAGGAAATGAATGGCACTCTGCTTTCCCTTTGTAACTACCACTGGTGTTCCCTGGAGCAGAAGCTTGAGCCCCCAGCTGCTCAGCAGTCAGTCATTAGAAGACCACTGTGGATCTAGACAGAGGTGATGGAAGGTATTCTTAAAAAGAGAAAAGAAACCCCAAAACTATTTAGGAGGTAAATTAACCAAGTTTATGAGTAGATCCACATGGACACATGCCTTTCTGCTGTTATATACGTTATCTCCACTGTTTCTATTGCCCCTACATGTTGTTATCTCATTTCTCTGTCTGATTTTCTGATTGTCAGACAACCTCCCAAAGCACTTGGAACATAAATTAAACACATATGGGATATTCATCAAAGACATCGTGATAAAAATAGAAATGCTAACCCTCCAAAACTCTTCCTTTTAGACTGTCAAACTAAGTGCAAAACATGAGTGCAAGTGGGTCGCTTTCAATGTGTGTGCGTGTGTGTGTGTGCGTGCGTGCATGGGTACGTGTGTTGATATGAGTTATTTCATCTGCATTGCATCATCACAGGGTAATAATTTTGATTTTTCTTTTCACTCTTCCTTTTGAAATGAGCCAAGATGTGAATGTTTTATAAATGGGGCCTAGTGCACTGTGCTAGGAGCCCATGGCATGGTGCGTGTATGTCTGCATATGTAGGGCTCCTACAGGCCCCTTATGGTTTCTAGTCTGCTGTTTGTGGGGTTCAACTTTAGTTGTTAGAGATTTCACTTTACAACCATCTGTGTAGCGCTTTTGTAGGCTAGTTTAGCGCTAAACTGAAGTTAACTTGTCAGCAACGAATGCAATGTACAGCTGGTTAAAGGCCTTTAAAAGAAAAGGTCAGTGTTCGCTCCCTTACATACTGTAAGTATAAATTGCAGCACCTTTAAACAGTGTCACTAACAGGCTTTGGAACAAAAGGTTGTTACATTACATTTAGCTTGTAATTTACCTGCGTATATGTTATCTTTATAAAAGCTGAGTTTGAATTGTATTGTCAAGTCTCTTTTTTTGGATTTTGTTTTCAAGATACTCACATCCATGAATTCCACATTAGCCTTGGGTCCTGTGGCCTCATTTAGGATTTTAATGGCAACAGGGATTTTCACAGTTTCCCCCTCTGGGACCCAGATACCCTAAAGAAGAAACGCACACAGACACATACACACACACACACACAACATGATGATGAGTCATTACACTAATTGCACAGTCACAAATCCTCTACTCACAGAAACGATGTTTAAAAAAAGTATTATAACTCCTGGAGGAACAGCAGGAATCTCAATAAATTGAACGTTTTACACTCTAAATTCTACTTTGTCAGCTTTATAAATAACAACGTTCCATATTCTCACTGGCTGATTATAAAAATGAACTGCATGCTGTACGATTAAGGTTATTTCGCCCTTCAAAAAGACTTGGGCAAAACTATTTAATCATTTTGAAGTATCTAATTTTAGGGAGGTTTAAAGTGATTTAACAGCTGCCAAAGTGGATGGAATATTTGAAAGAGGAGAAAAATGAAGTACCTCTCAACTTTTTCAAAGTGATTAAAATGTGTTCCACCTTTGTTCCACCCTTATGTGACTACACATCCAGAGTGACAGAAGGCCTAGATTTCACACTTAGCCTAAAAACAACTATCCCATCAAAGAATTATTGTCATTAGGTGATAATGACGATCGATTTGATGCTGTTTTATGTTTCCTTTTACATGTAATTCTGCAGATGATCATTATTCAGCACAATAATTTAAGGGCACACTTTATGAAAGCTTGGACATCGATGTTCTAACTGGAAAAAATGGTTTACAGGTTTGTAAATGCCTCAGTTTATTAACAACACATTTACTTAAAACTGCATCTGCAAACGGGCTGCTACAGCTAACACTGCAGAATAAAATGACAAATTTTACATTAGGAGGAGAAGATATCCATACACAGAATTTACCATTTTATTCTAAAATGTTTAGAAAACAAATGAAATTATTTACATATGTTACAGCCTGCTTTAGGGATTAGTACTTGTTTGTGTGTTTTGTGTTGCAGGAGTTGTGATACGGGAGGACTGTTTTGCTTTGAGTTTTCCTTTGAGTTTTTTTTTTTTTTGCACATACAATGTATACCATATACTTGCCTAGCCATCCATCACTATGCTACACCACTAATACAGACCTACACACACCTTTCTTAATTTATTTAATTACTTGTGATCTATGAGCGGGTTGCAACACATGAACTGCACATTGTGACAGAACATGTGACAGAAGAATCTATAGCTCCAAGTTGTTCTCTTAATGGTGAAATGCTGAGTTGAGCCAGTTAAGCATATTGCCACCAACTATGGATATGGGTCAAATCAAGGAACAGCATGTGGCCTTAGTTTTATTAAACATAAAACTAAATATTGCTACACTTTAATTAACTAACTGTGTTTTAGCTGTATGAGCCATCCTATAAAGCACTCAGTTTACAAGTTGGTCTAAATGCTGAACCTATGAACTCTCAGCTATGGAGATTAGGTACAAGTCTGATGTCTTCTGGCTGTAAAAGACCTGTCAGGGTTCTATAGCTCACCTATAAGACTTGAAACTGACTATACAGCATATCCTTACAAGTCTAGAAGTGCCTTGAAATTTCCCAGGAGAGCATGCAAGACCTTGCTTTGAAAAAGGACATACACTGATGCCACATACCTCTGGCCTAAAAAAAAGGTGCTACAATGAGAATGGGTGGACACAAAAAAAGACGAATTATAATTTCAGTGAGAGAAAGTCTGCTCTTTCTAATTTCAGATTTTTTTTTTCCAACTTCTACCCAACCCTTCATTGCTCTTATGGTGACCTCAGCTACCTCTTATTTCACTGTCACCCCAGGGGTCTCAGTGTCTGCTATTACTTATTCTTTTCATCTCCCGCCTCCAGCCTTCCATCTCATTTCCTGTCATTAATGATCCTGCAATGTCCCTCTTGTCTTTTTCTCATGAAGTGAGAATGTGAACACAATGTGACATCATGGTCTCACTTTTAGTAGAGGAGCAGTTAAGTATTTGAAGCTAAAATGCAAATAGTCACCATTAATTCACATTTGATTGTATTTTACCTTGTAAACAGTTCCAAAAGCTCCGGAGCCGAGGATCTTGACTCTTTTGAGTTCTGTTTCTTTCAGGATGCGAAGCTGGGCTTGATTGGGTGCCGTTCCACTGGGTGTTAAAGGTTCCACCAACTAAGAATGCAATAAATAAGTCAGTGAGTGCTGGAAGACAAATCTAGAATCTACATAACAAAAGCTACTAAGATTAATTCATGATACTTTAAATTAAAACATCACAACTTATCACAGGATTAGTCCAATTGCTTGTTGCTGAGCAATTAAATGCAATTTAGCTTCTCAGGATCTCAGGAACACACCTCCATATTAGAAAAAAACTAAACAAATAAAACCCCAAAATAAAATACACCTTTCTTCCATGCAAAATCCTTCTTTAGAGGATAGGACAGTTTCTAAAAGCTGTGACCCAAATTCCAGGAAGTCAGGTAGTGAGACAGGTTGTACAATAACAATGAAACTGAAATTACTATTTAAATTGTAGAAAAACAAGAGTAATTTCATACAAAAGTTTGACTCAAATGCAACATTTACTCTTAAGGAAGGTTCCAGTGGGTAAGAAAAGTACACACACACGCTGGGTGGGTGGACAAGCAACATGAACACCCAAGTTTGTGACACTGATAACTCAAGAACGAAGCAACGTAGGACTTTCAAATTTATACTACAGGTGTTTCTACTAAAAATCTCAGATGAGTTTGAATCTCAGGGTTAGAGGTCAAATTTTTTGAAAAACTTGTGACATTGGAGTTTCAAATTGATACCATAGGTGTATCAAGACAGCTGGTTGTAGTTACGTTTATTGCCCCTGCACTTGTGGTTACAGTAGGGTTGTAATGGAATTTTTTTCCAGGAAGATAAATCTAGACTATGATGAACCATTATTATGACATTCTCTATGGTAAAAGGAAGTGAAAGCGATACTACATGGGAACAGAAGAGAGTGATGGAGAAAGGTGGATGAAAACAGAGAAAGACTGGGGGAGACAGATAATTGAGGCAGCTGAAAGGGAGTTGAAATTTTTGTTGTCTCATTACTGCTCAAGTGGAGGAACAAAAAGATGAAATAGTAGGAGAAGCAGAAAGATTATATCCGAGGAGGGAGGAAGGAAGATGTGGAGCGGGAAAGGAACTGTAGCAGAAACAACAACAAGACAGCGATGGAGAAGCGAGCTGCTGAATTAGTCAGAGGATGCAAAAGCATAAGTGAGGGAGCAATATAAGGAGAATTAAAGGAGAGGGCGGAAGATTAGAGAGGGAGAGAGGACAGAGAGAGCCCAACAGACAGAGTGTAAATCAGCCTGGCTGTGCTTGGCAGCTTCTGTCCCTCTGGCTTATGGTTACCATTTGATTAAAAACAATAGCCATTCTTCATTTAAATGGAATAACAAATCAGCTTCTGCAGGGTGGAAACAAGTAGGCTGGGGGGCCACAAACACACCCAGGACAATACAGACGTCTTTAAAATGATCTAACCGTACACACACAAAGGCAAAGCTCTATGCTATTTCCACTGTGCTGGGAGCTGTCCAGCATTAGTGGTGCTGAAGATGTTGAGGCTGTGTAGCAGCCGAACAGCAGCAAATGTAGCTATCCACCTTCTCTCTCTACACTGCATTTCTGAAACTGAAGCAAGTGCTGCCTGAAACATACTGATCAAAATATTAACACCACATATCAGATCTTGATGAATGAAATATTTAAGTTAACATACACTATATGTGCAAAAATACTGAGTCACCTACACATTACATCTACAGGAGGACCAAGGTCCATGGAAACCATGCCATGGAGCTCTCGGTGCACGGTGTTTGTGTTGATGTTATTTGCCACTGAGCAATTATTGAATCATCAGAGCCATGGCAACCTTTACACACAACACACCTCAGCACTCAGCGACCCTTCTCTGTAACTTTATGTGGTCTTCAATTTTGTGGTTGAGTTGCTGCAGTTCCTAAATGCTTCCACTCTAAAATAATTCCACTAACAGGTGATTGTGGAATATCTAAGAGCAAAAAACCCCCCTGTGAATTGTCTTATTGTAACAAAGGGATCCTGCCGCAATATTGCACTCAAATTCAGTAAGTAAAATAATGTAATTTGTTGAAAACAACGGTTAGTGGAATCTAAAGTGCAATTCAAAATCATACCAAAAATCTAAATTAAATTGCTCAAGTGTTGCTTCATTGTTTTAAGAAGTTTATATGTTGCTATTCTATTAAAGTGGTGAGCTGGGCAAAATGACATTAAAACCATTAGACAAACATTTCACGTGCAGACTGATCTGATTAGATTTATAGTCCATCAACATTTTCTTTTAACAAGTCTAAAATTATTTGTTATATAGTGATAGGATGAGGGGGAAACTGTCATGGTATGCGAGGGCAGACCGTATGGAGTGAGTTGAGGACCCAAGAGCAGACAGAGGCGAGGAGACGAAACTGAACTTAACAAAAAGCGAGCCTTTATTTAGGGCTGAAAACTCACGGAAAAAACAACAACAAAGTAACTGAGGGAAAACCTGAACATAGACTAGGAAACTATGACTCTTACTGAGAATTTAGACTATGACTAAACAATATACAAACTATGGCTGGGAAACTATGACAAGGGGTAGGGGAGATAACACAGACGACGCGACGAAGAACAAAGGAAGACTGAGGACTTAAATACACACATAAGGTGATCAGGGGAAGTGGAGACACATGAGAACACAGCTGACTAGAATGAAACATAATGACAATACAGAGGAGAGTAACACTAACTACAATGAACAAAGAACACCAGACTCTTCCAAAATAAAACAGGAAACATGGAGACATAGACATGAACTTAACATAACCGCATAGACAAGAAACATGACACGTAGACGCAGGAACCAGGGAGACTGAGTACAGGGGGAGATGACAGAAACAACTAAAAAATAAGGACTAACTAGCAACCTAGAAATTAACTGGATCGAAAATGAATACAAAAATACCCAAAACTCAAACACGGGGTCACACGACCCAGTACCATGACAGAAACTGATGCGCAGTGCCTAAAAACTAACTAGTTTCAGACTTTATTTTAAGCAAATGACTATTAATCAATGAACCTGCAATATAAGACTTTCCCTGCAATTACATAAAATGCATAATTTAATGTAAATACTAAAAATGAAGGAAAAATTATCTCTTTTTTTTTTGCAGCCCAGAAACAAATGAAGACAGGATGGTTTCAAAGACAAAAAAAGATTTCCCATTTCCTTCTCTGCTCCTCTACTTTTGGAGCATCTAATACAATTATTGGGCCATAAATACAGTATTTTTTTATTAAATAAATGACATGTAACAAGAAAGGCTCTGTAATATATTAAAATAGTGCCTGGATTTATGTATGACTACTAAAAAGAGACTAATGTAAGTACTCAAGAAATAGTGGCAGTTTAAGGGTGGCCCATATATGAACGGGAATAAAAGAAGTATAATAATTTATCATCTTAATGCTATTTCTTTTTCAAGACTCTTCACTGATACTTGTGCCCTGAATAGAGAGAAAGCACTGAAATGAGACCTTATTCTCAGTGTGGACACATAAGTACATTAGATGAAGTACTCTTCTGGTTTTTTTAGATAAAGAAAGAGTACTTTTGCCTCTTCTAATGGTATACTCCCTTAGCTCTTCCTAAAAGAAGTGCCTCTATAATGCACTGTAGGATTAGGGATGGGTATCGTTTAGGTTTTATCCGATACCGGTGCCAAATCGGTACTTTTGAAACGGTGCCGGTGCTTAAACGGTGCTCAAACCGGTGCTTAAAGAATGGAGA